TGTGTTAGTGCAGGAAGACTAGAGAAACAAATCCTTAGACACACATGTGTGGAAGAAAAAGGTATACATACAAAAGTAATTGAATATTGAGAAAACATCCCTGCCCAGTCCAGATCAAGTCTATAAGTGTGATATTAGCCCATATGTCTGATACTAATATATAAAGTTCTCTTTAGACTTATGAAAAATATGCAATGACGCCAAATGCAGGAAAATCACAGGCCAGTGGGTTGGAAGTCTTGTGGATCCAGTGGCATTGTAAGCATCTCAGTGCTGGCAGGGGTCTCCACGTGCCTTCTGCAGCTCCAGAGGTCTGGTCGCATCAGGGTAGGTCCATGTGGTTTCTCTAGCTCCCAGGATGTAATGCCATGTCTCTCGTCAGTAGAGCATCATCTCCGGGAGTGAACCTAGAGAGAGAAGTGTCTCCGACCTCCACGGACGAAATTCAGGAGTTCCCAGAATTTTCAGGAGAAGGACACGCCCACACAGAGGCCTCATTGGCTATTAGTCAATTGACAGACTAGACTCTACCCCTTCACCATTAATCCTCTCAAGTCCCAACTTGACACCAGATTATGTAACTACCATATCATGTAATTCAAAAGCTAATCTAACACACCTGGTTTTCAGTTATTTGCCAATATGACAATCATGCCTTTCTGTGGTCTTGCAAGGTATTGCTCCAAGAGAGGGAGTGAATTGAATTTTCATTTTTCTGTTCAACATTTCTTTTGAATTGCTTTTTCCCAGTATACTATACAATGTACTTTTCTAAAACTTCACCTGAAGAAAACAAGTATCCTCACAACTGTACCAGTTAGTAACATCAAGTTAAACAGAGAAAAGATTGAAGTTGTCAAGTATTTCATTTTGCTTGAATCCACAATCAATGCCCATGGAAATACCGGCCAAGCAATTAAACAACATATTGCCTCAGACAAATCTGCTGCAAAGGACATCTTCAAAGGGTTAAAAAGCAAACGTGCCACTTTGAGTAGTACGGTGTGCTGCAATCATTCCATAAGTGTTTTCAGTCACCACCTATTATACATGCGGATGCTTGGCAAGGAACAAGGAAATCCAAAGAAGCACAGTCAGAAAGCTCCTCAGAGGATGGTAAGCATTTGTCTCTTGCGTTTTTGACATGCTATTGACACCATGGCTGCAACAATGGGCTCGGGCATAGGAATCATTGTAAGTACTGCGCAGTGTTTCGTTCTGTTGTGCCTCTGGGTCAGAAACAATTCGCTGGCCCCCAACAACAACAGTCCCCGAAGGAGGACATCATGTTTGGTCAAGCAGAGGGTCAGTGAAAAAGAGGGCATCCCTCGATGTGATTGATTGACGCCATGGTTGCAACAGTGGGCTCGAACACTGCACTGGTGAGAATGTTGAAGACCAGGCAGTGCTTGGTTCTGCTGTGCCTCAGTTGTTATGAGTCAGACCTGATTCTTTGGCACCTAAGAACCAACATCAACACCACCACAACCTATTTTCATAAAACTGTTTCCTCATGAATAGCTCAGAACATTTTATGGCATTATTTTAATACTAATTTCCAATTACAGTGTATTATTTATACTCCACAACATGGATATGTAAAGGGATCATGATACTGTGTCATGTGACACTGAAGACCAATAACATCTGGCCCATTCATCAGTTTTTAGCTCTGATGAATAAAATCATTTTATAGATTGACACACGCAGGCTAACTCAGCAAACCTGTTAAATCACTTTATGATAATTTCCTCTCTTTAAATTGGTTATAATATATAAAAATATAATTAGCATGACATAAATTAAAATTTCTTTAGTAACCTTGTTTATTCTAAAGAAAATTTTAGTAAGAATTGAACTTATTTCTCTGATGCTGTAAAGCCTTACCAAGAGGGGCTTGGCAAGGAGTAGGACAGACTAGCCACGAAGGTTCAACTTCCATGTAGAGGGTAGGTAGCACTTCCAGAAAGACAGTAGTAAATGTTTCAGGAAGAAAAGGTGGTGGTAAGGAGTCAGGAAAGGTTTTGCAGAGAAAGTGATATTTGCATTGAGTCATATGTTGTTGAACAGGAAAGATAAAGAAGAATGTTATATAAACTGGAAAGGCTATAAGCACAGGCTAGGAGGAAGGAGATTAAGATCAGGTTTCATGATTAGTAAAGCTTATGGAGTGGCTGAAACAGAGCCAGCAGTACAGTGTGGACAGAGATGAAGCTAGGAAAGTTGTTTATCATACTGAAGTTTTGGGGACTGAGTTTTAATTTCATTTTTATAGACATTATTTATTTATTTATTTTGTTGAAAAATACGCACCGCAAGACTTATAGCAATTAAACAAAGTCTACATGTACCACTCAGTTACACTGACTGCATTCTCCAACTGGAGCAGTCATTGCCATTCCCTTGGTCAGATTGTTCCACCACTGTTGAGACAGACTACTCACTACCCCTATGTTCCACTTAACCATCATTTGTTAGATAAATGCTGCCATCATTTGTTAGATAATTCTTTGCCACCATGTAGACCAGCGGTTCTCAACCTGTGGGTCATGACCTCTTTGGGGGTTGAACAACCCTTTCACAGGGGTCGCCTGATTCATAGCAGTAGCAAAATTACAGTTATGAAGTATCAACGAAAATAATTTTATGGTTGGGGGGGTCACCACAACATGAGGAGCTATATGAAAGGGTTGCGGCATTAGGATCGTTGAGAACCACTGGTGTCGATAATTCTTTAAGAGAGCACAATGCTCAAGAATGACATTGTAAAAATCTGAATGATTATACATGTTTCTACAGCTTTATGGCACAACCCTGAAAAATTTGTATTTTAAAAGCCAAAACCTGAATTACTATAAATTAAAGTTATGTTCAGTCAATAAGAAGCTACTAATTGGGGTTGTGGTTGGGGCGGGGTGCAAAAAAAAAAAAAAAAGCTACTAATTTATGTTACTCAGTGTCCCCAAATACAATGCAACCTAGCTGTTTTGTTTCTAGATACCAAAAAGGCTAATTTTACTATAAGCTTTAAAGTCCATTGTTCTGTAACAGGCACCAAAATAAATAACCTGAGGTTTGACAAACCAATATGTGGCAAATTTTAAATAAATAAACAAAAGCAAAATAAGAATCAGTAAACGCTATAGATTATGAGCCTCTATCAATATTCAGATATCATTACTGATATTTCAATATTCAAAAACTTATGATACTTTACAAGGAGAAGTTATCATCTGCATGGTTTTTTTAAAGTGATATTTTGTCCAGACAGATGGGGATTTTCTCCCAGAATCATGATAATATGCCTTATGGCACTACTGGATAAGGGTTGGACTGCTTAAGCTCAAGGTGGTTGGTTCAAACCCACCAACTGTTTTGCAAAAGAAAGATCAATTTTCTGCTTCTGTAAAGATCTACAGGCTAGAAAATGGTATATTCGATCGTTATGAGTAGGAATCAATTGAATGACATTGCTTTGGTTTTCTGTTTGTTTGTGTTTAATATATTAAGGGAGGCATCCAGGTGGAACGCTGGTTCAAGCATTTGGTTGCTAACGGTCAGCAATTAAAACCCAGCAGCCACTCTGCAGGAGGAAGATGTGGCCGTCGGCTTGCGTCAGGGTGTACAGCCTTGGAAAACTGATGGGCAGTTCTCTGTTCTTTAGGGCTGTGCTGAGTCCGAACCAGCTCCATGACAAAGGTTTTTTTAAAATTTTATATCCTAAGAAAAATTTAAAGGAAAGTAAGATTCCCTTGGCTCCTAACCTACTGCAATGGTAGTTTTTACTCAAACTTGTAATGAATTTCTATAAAATGTAGATATAATCTATGCCCAGCCTTCATTTTTCCCCTCTACATTTCTCCTATCACTCCAGCATCAATAGAATCCATATATGAAGCAATTTTGCAATATATACATACATTGCATATATATAGATGCACGATATATAAAACTGTATTACCTATACACCTACATACCTATACACCTAAAACTACATACCTATACACCTAAAACAGTATACCTTTGTAGATAGACCATATCTACAGCTCTATCTATATTCCCTAGCCTTAAGAGAAAATGCCAAAAGTAGACACCAGTAGAATTAAATTGCTGTGGAGGGATTTGCACAATCTTTTACTTTAACTGTGATAAAAGTGCAAGTCCAATTAACGTGTTAGAAATGACTTTGAACGGTTTAGTCTCGGTGTGCTTTGTAAGTTCATAAAACTAGTGGTTTCAAAATTAGATGTAATTGTTGAGTTGTGTATCATGTGTTCTACTACAACCCAAAGGTGTGCACTTTCTTTTTGAGGAGTAGGGGAGAGCATGTTTACACATCTGGTAGCATGTGAAGTAGTAGAACAGTATTTTGGGGAAAAATTAAGCAATATTCTAATTACAGTCTTCATATAGTTAATAGTCCTCTAAAATATATCATAGCCTTATTGTGAAAACATTTGCAACTTGAAGTCTGTACAGAGAAACAACCACACTCCACACACATCACAACTTGGCAACAGCAATCTAGTCTTAAATGGCTTATTTTGCACACAAACTCATGTTTACATCTTCTTCAGTGGAAGAGCCTCTGGCAAACAAGGCGGACAAAAGAGTTTAAAAAAAATTGTATGAATGTAAATATAAGATTTTATAGAAAAGTGGCATAAGGTAATGTTGACCATATCTTTTAAACAGCTGAATGACATCCCCTGCAAAGCTGAAAGAGCTGAAAATATTTATTTATACAAAACATATTTCTTTCAAAGTAATCTGTCCAGAAATTTGTGAAAAATAAGTTGAATCTCCCTTTTCCCCCAAAGTATGCCTGGTATATGTGCTAACTTACTGAATTCATCCTTCATGCAATTTCAGTTTATTAAAGAGGTTAAAAATTTATAAAACTCTGATGGGATATGGTTTTAATGCTTCATCACACTACCCATCATTTGCTTTTCAATCTAGATCAGAATGATCTTTCCTACTTCCCTGCAATCACCTACCTGCACAGCTAATATTTTCTGAATGCTCCCTTGAGAGTCTTGCTGGAACTTGGCCAGCTTCGTCTGGTTGTACAGGACCACCAGTTTGAAGTGCGTCTCCCATACCTTCTGTATCCTTCTTTGCAGCTGACAGAACTAAAGGGAAGAGGAAGGGGAAGGGGAAAAAAAAAGAAAAACCACAAATCAGAGTAGGAGAGGAAATTAATGGCAGTGTTCAAGAAGAATGATGGAGGGAAATCGAGAAAGCAGTCAATAGCCCATTCTGCACTATACGGCCCTGACAGGAATTTCACAGTCTCTTGATTTTTCAGCCCACTCATGTGCATTCATCAGAAACCAGTCACATCTGGCCGCCAGGATGGGGGGTTAATTTTCTCTAAATGCCTCAGCAGTTTTGTTCTAGCTGAGGCACACTCTGTGACTGCAAAGCTGATGAGTAAAATATTTCTACTTCACCCAGTTTAACTCTAAACCGATAGCCTCGGGACATATTGAACCTTTCATTCATATATATACACACACACACACACACACACACACACACACACACACACACACACATATATGCTTTTTGAATGGCACATCGGGTCAAGCCAAAGTTTCAAGTGCAACTTTAAGACTTTGATGGACGCCATAGCTTCCCTTTTTCCTCATAAAGCTCACCATTGCTTGGCAATGTGCGCTGCAGAGCATGACAAAACTAAAGAGAATTAACTTAGCCATCAACTGCTGAGGGAGAACAATAGCAGGGAAGAAATTTCCAGCTAGAACTCCCTATTAATCTACCTCCCTCTGACCATGTGATGTGGAAGCATCTCACTGCTCCCGAGTACAGTAGCTGCAGTGCTTAGAAGTGGCATGCTTCATGCGGGATCTGAACAGAACAGGAAAGGCTCCTACGAGGCGATCTGTGCCATTTGGCAGACTGAATAAAACAGTCCAACAAACCAACACAAGGACAGTGGAAGGTTTTAACCAGTAACATTCAATTTTCCCTTGAATGGTTAACGTAGCCACACCATACACAAGTGTTTAAATTAGATTACTTTCAAAAGAATAAACTGGAAAAATGAATGGCAAAAGCAATGCTCCCAAGAAATAACAATGCTTACATATAGGAATGTTTGGACAAGTCAAAAATTAAGTTTCTGGTAGTTGGTAATATCGATAATTGCTTATGTCGATTCCATTTTTAGTATCATTTCCAGAATAAAATTGTGAAGATTAAACATTAATTAATTCCAACAATGCTAGGGGCAGTGCTTACAAAGTGGGTTAATCCCAAACATTCTTCAAGCAGTGTGTGTGAGAGACCTGTGAACTTTTTGTATGGATTTTTCAACAAAGCAGCTTACTTAAAATTACTATTTTAAAAACCTTGTCATGGTCTTTGAATTGATAAGTAGCATTGTCTCTATTGTATATTGTAATAAACAGTATGAGGAGCCCTGATGGTGTAGTGGTTAAGCATTGGGCTGCAACCCCCATGGTCCGCAGTTCAACACCACTAGCAGCTCCTAGGGAGAAAAACTGGGCTTTCTACTCCTGCAAACAATAATAGTCTGGAAACCCACAGGGGGTTGCTATGACTCAAAATTGACTGTATGGCACTGAGTGGGTGAGAGGGTGAGTGAGTGAATGAGCAGTGCATAGATATTCTTGTATACCAATTCCTCACTTATTAATGACCTCATTTGGAGGCACTAAGGAGATAAATAGCTCGCTGGAAGCAGAAGACAGATTCACTCCCTGTGAGACATTCCTGTTAAGAACACACATGGAGCTACACTAGAGCCCTGGAGGTAATGGAGCCACATGGAGACCCCTGCCAGGTGCTTCCACTGCCACTGGATCCACAAGACTTTCCACCTACTGGCCTGTGATCTTCCTGCTTTTGACGTCATTGCATGTGTTTCATGTGTCTGAAGAGGAATTTATAGATGGGTATTGGGCATCTGGGCTAATATCTGACTTGATCTGGACTGGGCTGGGATGTTTTCTCAATGTTCAAATGCTCTTGCATATTCACCTCATTCTCATACACATATGAGTGTCTATGAATTTGTTTCTCTAGTCTACCCAGACTAACACATTATGGTACCAGAAATGGGGTACTAGAGAAACAAATCATAAAAATGGAGAGTTTTTTGACCTGTGCATCATGGTAATTTTTCTTCTTTGGCTAGTCCAAGATTTGGCCACACAATTTACTGGGTTGCTTTCTGGAAAGAATATGGGAAGTTGAAGCTTTGATTATTTTGTTTGGTTGTAGTTTTGGGTTATTCCTGTATGAAATGGTGAAAATGAATGTGATTAAAGTATATTTTGAGCTCAGGGGACAAAATCGTCTCCTGAATTTCTCAGAGCTGCTTAGAGAAAATGGCTGACAGAAGGTCAGAATGGCTGACAGAAAGCCTGGATCTGGCTTGATGCTGTCAGAGGCCTAATCCCATATTTTTGTATCAATAAAATAGTTTAGATGATGAATTAAGAAAAGATAAATAAGAATTGAACTTGACAGTTTTAAGAATTCAGATTAGTATCTGATTCTACTTTGTTTATACTTATTTCTTCTGCTTATTATTGTTGATATAACAATTGGTATAAATGATTATTGGGGAATATGAAAACAGAGAACTTGTAAGCCTACTTGCTTCAAGACATTAAAATTTAATCTTTAAATGGGTTTAAGACATACCTGCAAAGAAGGCTCTGAAATAATAAGCCCCACCCAGAGCTTTGGAGTACTCAGGATATTTTCATTCAAAAAGACTTGCCTAGGGGGCTGTTGACAGATGGAAGAAAAAGGAACTTTGGCTTTTTGAATCTTGAACTAGTGGTTTGGGTCAGAAGCTGGAAAAAAATCTGAAACTATGAAGAAAACTCCACTGTAGGGCTGAACTGTTAAAGGGAGCCTGTGGCAAGCTGAAATGCTTGCTAGGTGACTACCTGGATCTACTTGTTGAGTGGAAGTGAAAGAAATGCAGCAATAAAGAGATGGGTTAAGTCTGGCCACAGACACCTGTGAACCTGGTTTATAGGAACCAGCTGGTTGATTGGTCTGAAGTTCATGACCTGGTCTGAAGTTCATGACCTTGTCCAAGGGGCTAGAGTTGTTGTGAATTTGTGATGGGGCCCATGGTCTAAAGACAAGGCAGCCAATGGGCACCCTGGTGAGGTTAAATGAGGCAACCCACATTGAGTTGGCCAGAATCTGACCAGATGAAGAGAAGATATTTGAACCTGTGAACTAGTGCATATTTCTGCTGACTATGGATGGCCTGTCCTGATTTGACTGTGGATGCAGAACTCACAAGGTTCCAACTGAAATGAAGATTTCTCACATCAAAGATGGTGATGGTCTCCTCAGAGCACTGGGTTGATTTAAGTGGGCAGTATAGAAATTGGATACCCAAAATGGAGGATAAAGGTATGAAGTGGCTGGCTTACAAACTTTCATAGGTGGGGGAATAAATTCATGGGAATATATTCACAGGAATATGGTTCATAAGATTATGGTGTAGATGTTCACATAAGTACAAGATATTTTTGTTTTGTTCACTTATAGAATGTTATGGTTAAAAGAGGTGGCACATATTGCATTGTATGAATTTTAGTTTTATTCTGTTAGGTACAGATATCATTTTATTATTGCTCATTTGAAAATGATATATGGCTAAAGAGTTGTGTGATAGTGTCAAATTGACAAGAGGTGGTCTGTGGTAGTTAAAGAATCTTTTGTCAATTTGAGACTTAAGAGTGAAGGGGCGGAGTTTAGCCTGTCAATCAGGTTTCAGCTTGATGACCTCATTTGGAGGTACTCAGGAAATAAATAGCTCACTGGAGGCAGGAGACAGATTCACTCTCTGAGACATTCCTGTTGAGAAGACACATGGAGCTACGGGAGAGCCTTTGAGGTGATGGACCCAGCACTGAAATACTTCCACTGCCACTGGATCTACAAGACTTCTACCTACCAGCCTGTGAACTTCCTGCATTAGGCATCATTGCATGTGCTGCATGAATCTAAAGAAGAATTTATGGACTGGTAGCAGACATATGGGCTAATATTGGACTTATGGACTTGATCTGGACTAGGCTGGGATGTTTGTTCAATATACAATTACTGTTTGATATAAAATTCTCTCTTCTATATATCTATATGAGTGTCTCTAACTGTACTTCTTCCAAGACAGACTTGTTTGTTGTTCTGGAAGTGCAGAGACATTTTAATATTCTTCACCAACACCATAATTCAAGAGAATCAGTTGTTCTTAAGTCTTCCTTATTCTATGTCCAACATTCACATGAATATGAGGTGATTGAAAACAGAATGTCTTGAGTCAGGCTCACTTTAGTCCTCAAAGTGACCCCCTTGTTCATCAGTGCTTTATAGAGGTCTTGTGTAGCCGATTCTCCCAATACAATTGCTGTTTGATCTCTTGACTGTTGCTTCCAGAAATATTAACTGTTGATCCAAGCAAAGTGAAATCCTTGACAACTCCAATCCATTCTGTTTGTCATGTGAGGATTTTGATTTTCTTTACCATAAGCCTGCAGTCTCTGATTTTAATCAGTGCTTTAATTCTGCCTCACTTTCAGCAAGCCACATACAAGTCTGCAAATCATAGGTTGGTAACAAGCTTTTCTCCCATCCTGATGCCATGTAATTCTTTATATAGTTCAGCTCCTTGGATTATTTGTTCAGTATGTTGATTGAACCCGTATTATGAAAGGGTGCAACTCTGAAATACACCTTTCCTAATTTTAAAGGACTCAGCATTCTCTTGTTCTGTTTGAACGACTGATGCTTGGTCCATGAACAGATTCCACCTGAGCACAGTGAAATGTTTTGGAATTCCTATTCTTCTCAATATTATCTATAATTTGCTATAATCTACAATAGCTGAATACCTTTACATAATCAATAAAAAAAAGTAAGCATATTTCTAGTATTCTCTGTTTTCAGTCTCTTCTGAATCTGGCCTGAATTTCTGGCAGGTCCTTGTCTATGTGCTGCTGCAACTGTTTTTGAATTTACTTGCATGTGAAATTAGTGTTCCATAATTTCTATATTCTTTTGGGTAACTTTTCTTTGGAGCAGACACAAGGATGGATCTCTTCCAGTTAGTTGG